GGCTCGACTTCCCTTCCTCCTCCGGGCTGACCGACCAACGATGGACCACTTCTGGCAGGCAGCGATGACATGAGGAGAAGTCGAGTCATGGCGGCGACAATCACTTGGGTTTACCCTAGTGCCTGGCGTCCGTTCGCCATTTATGTAACGCTTGGGAAAACCACGCTTCCGGCTCTAATTAACGCTCGCGCATGCTAGCCAACAGGTTATACCGTTGACTAACGATTTTTCCCTCCACGCCTTATTAATCTGCGCAAATCTCGGCGTAATGCGAACGCTTCGGGTCGGCTTGCTGGTGAAAGCCCTGAGATAAAAATCAATAAACCTCCTCTCTCAGGCTAGCGTCCCTATCATGGACCATAGCATTCCGTCCGAGTCGTTAGTCACTCATCGTCCTCACTGTCGTTTCAGGGCAGTTTCTGCACTTGCGAATGCGCACTGCATCACAAGGGTCCAGTTCAGAGGCGGTGTTCTGTGCTCTGGCCCAAAGTACCGTTTTCTCATTACTTTCCATTTTTTGAACAAGTCGCTCGCGTATCACGGTCTCCGTGCTGCTGTATGAACCAAGCCAAAGAGAAGAACAGAGTGCTTTACGAATGAATCGAAAATTTAGCTTTTTTCACAGCCTCATTGACGAGTGTGAACAGGATACATTGAACGGTGCAACGAATGGCTTCAGGTAATGACCGGCTAAGTGGAAAACAGATCGATACACAGTCAAGCTCTCTTTACGGGGACATTCCAATTTGCATTCAGCACGTTCCATAGCTGGAAATGATTTTCATGCCTTGCAGCTTTCACCTCACCGAACCGAAGTGCCCGCGAAAACACCCTACTGTGCCCTACAGTATAATCCTTCGCTTCGGTAGTTGTCAGTTGTCGACCACTTGATTGGAACGAGATTCACCTTATGAACGCTTTTACCGGAAACGGCCGTCTAACGTTGTTCAGAAACTTCATGTGACGAATAGACGATGATGCGTATACAGCGACACAATGCGAGACGCACGTTCGTAATCATATACGTATAGATTCTATTGCAACAGCAGCTTCTAATGGAATGACATCTGAAGCCGTGCGTGCATTCAGGGAAGACCATCGTTCAAGCAGAGATGACCTGCGGATCACTGATGGCAGTGCAATCATTGCTCGCATAAATTGTAATCGATGATGACTGTGCTGGTAGTTTTGCGGCCTAGACCTAGTTTGCACTGGCAGACAATCTGCGAGCCTGGTGATCAGCCAACATTGACCGCTGCCTTGATAAAACAGTCGGCGACTTGTATTCAAGGCCAATTTGTTGAACAGTTATTAGAGCCCTAAGGCCTTCAGTCGAGCAGCTGCGTCGCAGTTGCCTATCAATCTCTTATGTTAAGGGGAACTGCATCACATTCGACGGGGCAGACCCACAGCAGAAATGAACCGTGGGGGTCTTAGCATAAAATTGAAGAAATTCTTCAAATATGTGGTTCTTCTACAGGATTATATCCGTTCATATTTTGGTTAGAAAAAATTGCTCAAACAAGGATCCAATGCTCGAGTTCGAACTGGCTTAGGACATAAACTCAAGCCAGCACTTGTCATGAGAAACTGATGAGGACTGGTAGGAGAGCTGGAACCTTGACTCCTATCATTCACTATTTAACTCAAAAGCCTTTACTGCAGTTTGAATGCCATATGCATCTACAATGCTACGTGATAAGTTTAGCGACCATGAGTAAGGTTGAACAGAACTAACAAAGCTCAAAATCTGTGTGCAGTAAAGAAC